TGAGAATCTAGCCAGAGTTCATATTGGAATCTAGAATACTGTGAAAGGTACCATGTGCTTCACAGAGCATGATATTGATCAATTCCAGTCTGGGGTTTTATATCTGAAATATTGAACAAAAAAACCAACCAACTACAAGCAAACCTGTTGCTGACAAGTAAATTCCACCTCTTAGGACACAGTCAAACTGCCCCCATAGGAAAATCCTGGTGTAGTGCTGCAAGTTAATGCACTCCAGCAAGGTCAGTTTGAACTGCAAGTTCGGCAGTTCAAGCTCACCAGCCACTCCTCGGAAACCCTATACAGGGTCACTATGAGTGGAAACTGATTCATTCCATGGCAATAAACAGCAACAAGCAGTCTTTATGGAAGTCAACTGTGTCACACCTTTCTCCAGGGAACTCAATCTGACAACCTTTCCATGAGCATCTGAGTGCTTAACCAGTATATCTGCACTACCCACTGCCATTGAGTCCAACTCATAGCAACCCGATATAGGGTTTCTGAGATGGTAAATCTTTACAGAAAGATCTTTCTCTCATAGAGCAGGTGGTGGGTTTGAACTGCCGACCTTTCCATTAGCAGCACAGTGGCAAACCCACAGTGCCACTTGTTGTTGTTGTTAAGTGCCATCGAGTTGATTCCGACCCATAGCGATCCTGTATAGTGTTTCCAAGGAGCAGCTGGTGAGCTTGAACCACCAACCTTGTAGTTCAAAGGACTTTGCAGTCTGACACATTAGCCCACAGCGCTAAACCAGGCCATACCAGTGACAGTGCCACTACAGCTTCTTTTATCTGATCGAGTTGTAAAGAATGCCTAAGAGAGCAAGCAAGTCACCAACAACAGATTCTCAGGAAGCTTGTGACAAAGCTGTGAAATGAAAGCCAGTTTCAAAGTGCAGCTGACCCTGCTATTTTGGCTGTTCCCAGACAGCCCTAAAAGTTCTTTTTAAGTGTTTGTCATTTACTCAAGCTGTTGACTCCACCAAGTATGTTTCCAGGGGGATTATTTCTAAAAGCACCTAACTTTCAACAAAATTCTTAGCAAACACTTGCTTATCACAAACCTACTTTTAATCAAAGGCTGATTTCCAGTTCTGTGAATTTTTTTTTTCAAATTTACCTCTTCTTGACATTTCTTTCCTAGGAAAATAAAAAGGAACCAGTCTGACTGCCCATCTCTCCAGGGTATGCTTTCCACTATATTAAAATTTATATGCCAGGATTAAAAAAAAAAGGCACAGATAATTTATTTAGAAGATATAGACAATTTGCTTCAATAATTTTTTCTGGGGGCACTAAACAGGTCTCAAAAGAGTCATTGTGTGGTACGAATAGTTAAGCACTTGGCTGTGAACTGAAAGGTTGGTGGCTCAAACCCACCTAGAGGTGCCTTGGAAGAAAGATCTAGAGATCTAGTTTTCAAAGATCACAGGCATTGACAACCCTAGAGAATGCCATGAGTCAGAACTGACAGGACAGCATTTACTCAAGCTACTGAATAACTTCAGCAGCTCCCACACTTACCCAGGTCACTTACTGCCTCTCTCAATGTGACAGTCCTCCTCAGAGACTAAGGTGCTAGACCAGACAAATACAGGGAAGTCTTTGAAGTCCCTATGGTTTTCAGGACCAAGACCCGGTACAGGAAACAGTCCTCTGTTTAACAAGTATTTAATGTGTACTTATTATGGACTTGTGGTGTGGCGTTGTAGGTGGGTCAAACCCACCAGCTGCTCCTCGAAAACTCTATACAGGGTTGCTGAGTCAGAACCGACTCGAAGCACTTAACAGCAACAATTCTGTACAGATCACTTTAATACTAGCTTCTCTCTGCACCCAGAAAGAAGAGAGATACCACAAGGGACCCCTCCTCTTAAAGAGCATAAAACCTTTCTATCAGAAACCTGACATACTGCTTTTCCTGTATGGAGGTCAAAGTAAGAAATTATGAAAAGAGCTTGAGTTTTGTCTTCAAGATCATGCTTGATACTACATGTACAGTGTCAGCACTAGTTTACAAGCGTAAGAACGTATCTTGAAATTCTCTTCGCTCTAAGGAATATGGTTTTGGAAAGCAATGCTTTAACTCAGTATATTTCTATTTTTCTTTAGAGAAACAGGTATATGTTACAGGCAAAAAAGCTTAAGGGAAACTGATTTTGCAAAAATAAGAGATACCAGTGATGGATTCTCATTCCAATAATAGTTGTAGTGCTTTGGAACATATTAATGTTGAGGTAGCTCCTGAAATAAATTTAAGAAAATTTCTATATATAATCTCAAACATAGCTTCTTTTCATGTTGTTGTTGTTATGTACCGTGGAGTCGGTTCCGACTCATAGCGACCCTGCACAGGGTTTCCGAAGCTGTTAATCTTTACGGGAGCAGAACACCTCATCTTTCTTCCACAGAGCAGCCGGTAGTTTCAAACTGCTGACCTTGAGGTTCGCAGCCCGACTGCATAATCACTACACTTCTTTTCATAGACCTCTTAATATTATTTTCTGTCACTGGGATAACTACATTTTGTGGTGCCCATATATTAACGAAACTTCTGATGGCTTAATGGTCACCACTTAGAAAATACAGTATACCGGTATTCTAATATGAACACTGGAACCAGAACCTAACATGCATGTAAACTTTGACTGGGGAGAGAAAATTAAATGAAGTTTTAAAAGAGTAAATTGGTATCATAAAAATACCATTATTTCAAAAAGACTGCCCAGGTATATTTGGTAAAAAGAAAATCCTATGTTACAATTTTTTCCCAAAAGAAATACTGGAAATACTAGTTATAAATCAAGTAGCAAATAATATAAGAAAACATTTTTTAATAACATCTTATCCTACCATTCATCATGGCATATTTTACTAGAATGAATTTCATCTGATAGTTTAGGAAAAATTAGATACACTTTTAAATAGCAGTGTCTGGCTTATTGTGAAAATATGTTTATATTAGTTTACATTACACTCTTCAAAGAGTATCCTGAAATAAATATCAACTATTGGGTTGCAAGTTGAGCTGCTAACTGCAAAGTCAGCAGTGAAAATCTACCAGTGGTTCCGTGGAAAAAAGATGAGCCTTTTCTGCTCCTGTGAAGAGTTACAGCCTCGGAAATCCTATACAGGGTGGCTGCATGGGTCAGAAGTGACTCAACAGCACACAACCACCAAAACCATTGCTAACAAATAAGAATGTTTCAATAATATAACTTTTGCACCATGTGAGATCAAATATTTATAATGGCACTGTGGGATAATATACTGGACTGCAAGCTTGGTTTGAAATGCAAAGTCAGCGGTTCAAATCAATTAGCCACTCTTCAGAAACCCTATACAGGTTCACTCTGAGTTGGAACCGACTCAACAGCACGTAACAACAATAGCAATTTATGGGCTGTTTGTACTCCCTGTCACGGTATCATTTGACACTTAAAATGATATGGGGAATTGCTTTTATTTTTAAAATGATCAAAATTAGACTAGTTTTTCATTTTATCTTTGTAGTTAAATCTGACCCTGTTGTTGGTGTTATCAAATGCCAGCCACTGAGTCAGTTCTGACTCATAGTGACCCTATATAGGGTTTGCAAGGAGTGGCTGCTAAGTTTGTTACCACCAACCTTGCAGTTCAAAGCGAAGTTGTGGTCTAGTGCTTATCCTACAGCAGCAAACCAGGACTCCTAAATCTGACCCTGCTGTTGTTGTTAAGTGCCATCGAGTTGAGGAGTAGCTGGTGAGCTTGAACCACTGACCTTGCAGCTCAAACGACTTTGCAGTCTGACGCATTAGCCCACAGTGCCACCCCAGGACTCCAGCTTTCTTTTACTCTGGGTCTTTAACTGCTACTGGTAGAAATTTTCAGGGTGAAATTAATTAAAAAGAAAAACCTTGTTGAATTTACCAGCATAAGTTAGAGGGTCACATTTCTCATTATGTTTTCTTCAACCACACAGCTAAAAGGATAGACAAACATGGATTATATAAATATTGTTTTTGTTGCCTAGTGCCATCGAGTCCATTCGGACTCGTAGAGACCCTGTATAGGGTTTCTGAAGAGCGGCTGGTAGATTTGAACCACCTACCTTGCAGTCCAGTGCTTATCCTATAGCACCATACCAGGACTCCACATCATATAAATGCTGTTGTTAAGTGCCATCAAGTCGATTCTGACTCATAGAGACTCTGTACTGGGATTCCAGGAAGCAGAGCGGTGGGTTTGAACCACCAACCTTGTGGTTTGCAGTGCAGTGCTTATCCTACAGTGCCACACCAGGAGTCCTAAACTGGGGCCCTGGTAGCTTAGTGGTTACGAATTGGGCTGCTAACTGCATGGTCAGTAGTTCAAATCCACCAGCTGCTTTGTGAGGGAAAGAAGAGACTACTGAAAGGAAATTTAATAATCAAAGGTTTCAGAGTTTTAAGGAACCTCAACTTTGAATCAAACCTCCTGCCTGCCTTCTGGTATTACAGGGGTTTTAGCACTCAACAGTAACAACAAGCTAAGTAGTAACTGAGATTCAAAGAGGTTAACAATTTGCCCAAGGTTACACAACTAGTTCATGGAAGTATTTCTCCTAATGCAGGGACTCTCGTCAAAATAGATTTTAATTTGTTTCAGAGGATAAGAATCAGACACACGTTTTATTGTCCTTAGATGAAAATAATTTGATAATATAGACTCCCAAAGAGATGGATTGGCCAAGTGGCAGCATGGATGAACTCAAGCGTGGCAACAACAGTGAGGTTGGCCCAGGATCGGGCCGTGTTTCGTTCTGCTGTGCATAAGGTCGCTATGAGTCGGTACTGACTCGGTGGCTCCTAACAACAACTATTATATCATACCTATGAACAAAATGACAGCTCACAGATTTGAGAAAAAGGAGCCATAGAGAGTGGTTTGGGATAAGAATTTACATTTTTCAGATTTGACAGGAAGTGAGGTGTCTTAGGACTGTGTAACTACTGATGTGTCAGACTGTCTTCCTACCTTGATTGCAGGATTTTCCGGCATATCCAGGATGACACTTGCACTTGTTTGGTCCGATACATTCACCATGCTTGCATTGTGGCTGACACACAGCTGTGAAAATAGGACATCTCACATTATTTTTATGTCAGTAGTACAACAACCATATCGTAACTCTGCCATGTGTTTGTTGGATAATACAAGAAAAAAATACAAAATAACATACAACCAAGTAGCAAAACTTCTGCTCTTACAATGGCAAGCACTCTCTAAATTACATATAATCATTTGCGTGTGTATGTGTATAAGTCTGTGTGTCTCTGTGTCTGTATCACTTGGGCTTGAACAATTTGTTAAAATTGAGGACAATATTCAAATAATCAAAACAATACACATATGTACATATATAAACCTATATATTAACATAACATTACTTGACAGTTATGTATAACTTTACAATTACTTGCACTTATAATTTCAAACTCATTCTCCTAAATACACTTCAAAAAATAGTTCCTATTGCAATGATATTAGATATGTATGAAATCCAGATAAATTTCAAGTTAAATTCTATAAAAAATATTTTATTGGAAATGGTATTACTAAGTACGAAGCAATGCAAAATGAAATAAAACCTAAGCCTCAACAGTTTTCGGAGCATCAGTTTAAGAATATTTCTTCTGCCGTAGTGATCATTCTAAACTTCAAGGGGCATCACAAGTGTTCATCAGTTTATAATGGCTTTTCTATGGTCTACCACAGCAAATACAAAGTACAAAATTCTCAGTCTGATATAACTGTCCTCTTTCAACTACATCCTATTTCCCTCAAGATCTCAAAATGCTTTAAAGCATCTCGCAATCTTTCCACAAGTCTCCCCATCCTGCCAATATATCAGAGATATGAAGTACTCATACCAGATTATTGAAACAGGTATGTTTATCCATTTTACATTATCAACTAGGCATGCTTTTGCTCCTCATGGGACATTTGACAATGTCTGGAGATATTTCTGGCTGTTGCAACATGGGAAGGGGTGCTACTGGCATCTAGTGGGTAAAAACCACGGATGCTGCTAAACATACTAAGATGGTCACACAGCCAACACACAACAACAAATTATCCAGCCCAAAATGTCATGATGCCAAGATGGATAAATTATATATACTTTCAAATATCAGTGTTCTGGATTATTATGAAAATTATGTTTGTAAATTGCTCTATTGAAATTAGGTGCATTGGACTATTCCAAGTACTATAAGAGATGAAAACAAGTTTGTCAGTTTGTCATACTGTGGTGGCTTGCATGTTGCTCTGATTCTGGAGGCTATGCCATTAGTATTTTAAATACCAGCTGGGTCACCCATGGTGGACAGGTTTCGGCTGAGCTTCCAGAAAAAGAAACTAGGTAGAAGAAGAGATGGACTACTTCCAAATATTAAGTCACCGAAAACTTTATGAATAGCGGTGGAATACTGTTAGATAGCACCAGAGTGTTGAATACTGAAACATGATGAAGAGCACCAGAATATTGTCAGATATAGTACCAGAAGAAGAGCCCCTCAGTTTGGAAGACACTCAAAATATGACTGGGGAACAGTTGCCTCCTCAAAGTTGAGTTGATTGTGATGATGTGAATGGAGTAAAGCTTTCTAGATCTTCATTTGATGCTGGGATACAACTCAAAATGAGGAAAACAATTGTAAATATCCATTAATAACCACAACATAGAATGTATTAAGTATGTAACTAGGAAAATTTAGAGTTGTTAAAATGAAATGGAAAGCATAAAGATCTTATACCTAGACATTACTGAGCTTAAATAGACCATCATTGGCCACTTTGAATCTGACAATAACATGGTTTACTATGCCGTGATTGACAAATTGAAGAGGAATAGAATCGCATTCATCATCAAAAAGACCATCTCAAGATCTGTCTTGAAGTATACCACTGTCTATGATAGGATAACAACCATACTCCTACACGGAAGACCGGAGTCCTGGTTTAGCACTGTGGATTAATGCGCCAGACTGCAAAACCGTTTGAATTGCAAGGTTGGTGATTCAAGCTCACCAGCTGCTCCTCAGAAACCCTATATAGGGTCGCTATGGGTCAGAACTGACTCGACAGCACTTCACAACAACAACAACAAGGAAGACCAGTTAATACAACTATTATTCAAATTCACGAAACAACCACTAAAACCAGTGATGATGAAATTGAAATATTCTACTAACATCTTCAGTCTGAAATTGATCAAGCATGCAATCAAGATGTGTTTATAATTACTGGCAATTGGAATGCAAAGATTGGAAACCAAGAGGAAGGATCAGTAGTTGGAAAATATGGCTTTGATGTTAGAAACAATGCCAGTGATTGCACGACAGAATTTTGCAAAACCAATGACGTCTTCAAAGCAAATACATTTTATAAATAACATAAAAGACAATTGTACATGTGGACCTCACCAGATGGAATAAACAGAAATCAAATTGACTACATCTGTGTAAAGAGACAATGGGAAAAGCTTCATATTATCAGCCAAAACAAGGCTGGAGGTAGACTGGAACAGACCATCAATTGCTCTTATGCAACTTCAGACTAAAACTAAAAAAAATTTTAAAAAGTCCAGGAGAGCCAAAATACAACTTTGAATATATCCCACCTAAATTTAGAGATTATCTGAAGAACAGATTCCATGCCTTAGACACTAATGACAGAAGACCAGAAAAGTTGTGGGATGACTTCAAGAACATCATACAGGAAAAAAACAAAAGGTCATTAAGAAGACAAGAAAGAAGGAAAACACCAAAACGGATGTCAGAAGAAACTGCTGGCTCTTGATCCTAGATATGCTAAAGCAAATGGAAGAAATGAAGAGGTAAAAGAGCTGAACAGCAAATTTCAGAGGGTAGCTCAAGAAGACAAAGCCAAATATTATAATGCAATGTGCAAAGACCTGGAGTTAGAAAACCAAAGGAAAGAACAGGTTCAGCATTTCTCAGTCTAAGGGAACTGAAGAAAAAAATTAAAGCCTCAACTTGAAATATAGAAGTATCTATGGGGGAGTTCTGGTATGGTGCTGTAGGATAAAGCACTGGACTGCAAGGTCATTTGAACCACAAGGTCGATGGTTCAAACTCACCAGCCTCTCCTTGGAAACACTATACAGGGTCACTGAGTTGGAACTGACTCCACGGCACTTAAAAACAACAACAATGGAGAACATAATGAATGACTCAGAAAGCATCAAAAGAAGATGGAAGGAATTCATAGAGTCATTGTACCAAAAAGAAATGGTCGAGTTCAACTATTTCAAGAGGTAGCATATGATCAAGAGTCAATGATACTGAAGGAAGAAGTCCATGAAGGCATTGACAAACAATAAGGCTCTGGGAACTGATGGAATACACATTGAAATTTTTCAACAAACTGATGTGGCATTGGAGACACTTGATTCTTCTATGCGAGGAAATTTGGAAGACAGCCACCTGGACAGCTGATTGGAAGAGATCCATATTTGTGCTCATTCCAAAGAGAAGTGCAGACATCATAGGACAATATCATTCATATCATATGCAAGTAAAATTTTGTTAAAGGAAAATAAAAAATGGATGCAATAGTGCATTGACAGAGAATTGCCAGAGGTTCTTGCCAGATTCAAACAAGGACATGGAATTAGTAATATCACTGCTAACATCAGATGGATCTTTGCTAAAAGTAAAGAATAACATAAAGATGTTTACTACTTTTGTTGTTTTCTCACAGAACTCCAATTAATTCTTCCTTCACCTGGTATGCAACAGGTCTCCTTTGCCAATTTTACTTTCTAGACCTTTCTCACTTGCTTGCTTGTCACCCCAACTGGATCCTGTGCACAGTGTTGCTTGGCAGGCCTTAATTAAAAAGCTTTAGTTCTTTAATTTTATACTCTGATCATCTTTTTTTTCTTCAGAAAGAAAAGATGATCAGCGTATAAATGGTAGAAAAACGTACTTGGAAGACTCTGAAAGTCTGATTTTAGAAATGTCATTAAATTAGAAAAGAAGCTAATTTGTTCAGATCTGCAAAAAAATGAACTATCCATAAGTGCTTTACAGTATTAGTCTTCAATCAATTATATGAAGGCCTTCATAACTTCATGGAAAAATTCCATGATCTTTCATTTGGTTTCCCCACAAGCTTTTTTAAAGACCTACCTCATATATCTGATAGATGGTTTATATGCAGTTTAAAAACCAGGCCCAAGAAACAATTCTTTTTATGTGAACCCCCACTCAGACATATAACTAAGAAATTTTTTTTTTAATTAAGTGTTAAAAATTCTTTTTAATGTTCCATAAATTTTCATTGAAAATGTGAATACATCAAGCACTTCTGAGGTACTCAGAGAGGTATATTTTAAAAGAAAATATAAAACATCTTTAAATAAGTAGATGCAAATCACATCATTTAATCACCCCCGCATAAACTTTCAGAATACAAAAATCTCTTAAAAGATTAGAAAAAATCACTCATTTAATGGAACATGAAAAAAGCTTATTCAGAAGAGGCACTTTGTGAAACAAGTATACTTGAGACACCCAGGCTGTACTGCCATTTGAACCCCCTACCAAATGAATGACCTTTCATTTATAGTGTGTTTAGGTGCTTTATGGAACAAAAGTTTTTATTGTCCCCTTTCCATTTTGCTGTTTGTTCTCAGTGGTGTGCCTAATCTTCGTCACATCTAATGTACACATACCACGAGGTCAAGATTGTTAATGTTTCTTACATGTTTATGTGAGTCAGTATTTTAAAACAAACTGCTGTTTGTACTCTTGACAATCAGCTCAAGGAGCCAACCATGTTCAGAACAACCATCAGTTACTAAAACTGAAAGGATACGAATAGAGTTGATAGAATTAGGTTTTTTCCCTCCTTCTTACAAAAAGAAAACCCTTAAGATAATGCTGCACAATAGCACTTTCTTCAGTGAATTTTCTGGCATTTCATCTCGAATTGAATTCAATAAGCATGTAGTGAACATTTGGTATACACAAAGTATATCGTACTAGACAAATCTGGTAGAATACGAGAGTCACAAAGGATATGAAGACTTAAATCATGGA